TTTAATGTTTCCGTGTTCCTTGTGCCTGTGCCCATATCCTAAACGTGAAAAATATCCCTAAGTTTCCCTTTGGCCCTGGGGGAATTAAAAGGAGTCTCCAGCTGGATTAATGAAACCTTGCTGAGCAGATGAGTGGTGTCACGGGCTTGTGGCAGTCTCGCTAGAGCACAAGTGGTGTGCTTAGAGTGAACAGCCGTTTCATGCACACTTAAACTGTTCTGAACCATCACCCTCCCCAATAATTCTTCATCCTTTCCATGTGGGAGAGAAGCACAGAATAAACCATTTAAAGAGGAGCGTTAGAAATCAAAAGGTACACTTTATCCCTTGTCAAAAGATGACACTGCTTTTCTTCTTGCTTTTAAATATTGCTTGAAATAATGCACATATGTTATTTCCAAGGTGGTTTTGAAGCATGGGGTCAGCAAGCGGCTACAGGTTTGTTGGTCCTGTAGTCCTGTGCCTAGCAGGGATGCTGTTGCAGAGGACCTCAGCAGGTCAAGCACATCTGATACTTGGTAGTGAAGAGCCTCTCCCCTCTGGTCTTATCATGGGAGCGCAGGGTACCTGTCTCCTGGGTCACTTTCTCCATCCCAGTGGTAAGATACACTTAATAGACCTGGGGTGTGTTTGGCAAGGCACTGAGCTGAACTTCAAGGAAGTGTTCAAGGCCAGGTTGGACGGGGCTTGGAGCAAGTTGCTCTAGTGGAAGGTGTCCCTGCCTGTGGCAGGGGTTGGAGCTGGATGAGCTTTAAGGTCCCTTGCAACCCAAACCAGTCTGGGATTCTATGAAGTTCTGGCATCGCTGTAATGCTTGTGTCTCTCCCTAGCGCTGTGGCTCAGCCCCTTCAGAAGCATGACTCTGCTCATTGTGATTCTCTTGCTCCTGAAATGGCCCTGACTATTTTAATTTTTCCCTTAAGTTACTTCTGTCACCAATGGATTCTTCTCCAATGAGAAAATGCAGTAAAGTAAACAAGGGAAGGACTAATATTCTGCACCCATGTCTTCTCATTTGAACAGATCTGTTCAGTATGACTCTAGTCATGGGGAATAAGTCAGTGGCCAGGAGATGTGTAGCCATTTCCTGCACCATTCAGGCCTGGTTGTGGCCATCCTGAAACTGCTCTGTGCTTGGCATGAGGTTACCAAGAGATGAGGTTACCAAGGGCAGGGTTTGACCCTCTTTGGCTCCACTCAGTGTTCTTACCACACTGTTTCTCTTGCACTTATCTAATTTATTTTAGTTATCTCCCTGCTTATGCTTCCTTTCCTCAGTAAGCAAGAGGGAAGTTGGTATCTTGATTTTCACTGGAAATGAGTTTCCTTCTTGGCATTTGTGTAGTTTCTAGGATTAATAAAATGCACCTATATAATCTCCAAATTTGGAAAACGAGAGAAAAAATGTCTCGTGTAGGTTTCTTCATTTAGTATCACAGAATCACAGACTGGTTTGGGTTGAAAGGGACCTTAAAGCTCATGTTATTCCAACCTCTTGCCATGGGCAGGGACACCCCTTCTTAGCAAACAGCTCTTATTCTTGGGTTTGCTGAATTTGTTGAAGTTGCTGAAGTATTGACTTCAGGACAAGAATAATACACACCTCCTGCAGCACCAAGCACGGTACCAGCATCCATCAGTCTGTGGTGCGTTCAGGTCAGGCAGGTTCTCGCAGGGGTGTGGAGGCCTGGACGGTCTGGAAGAGCCATCGAGGTGAATTCTTTCCCGAGTCCTCTCCATACGCACAGGAAGGGGAGTCTGCGTGCGCTGAGCAGGCGGTAACCTGGAAGCGGGGCCAGCGGCTCACGGCACGCTGCATTCCTTCAGCTATTCCCAATGGGCGCTCTGCAGGATGATGGATATTTCAGCATCTTTGTTCTTTGTTTTCCTTCTAACACTGGTGGAGTTTAAATCACTGGAAGGAGAGGGCTTGACACTTCTCCAGTTACACAAACAAGTGGTACTGCACTAGCTGAAGCGTGTTTTCAGGAGAGGCAAGCAGATACCTTAAATGCCGTTCTTTGGGAAAGGTCTTTCTCTCAGTCATGGCTGTGACATGGGTGTTAAGCTTGTAGTTATTGCAAAAATCAGGATGTTACTGCAGAACCTGGGATGCTTTCCAGTAACAGCCCAACGAGGAGCTTATCACCTTGTAGTGTTTGGGCCTAGATCCTGAATAAAATATACTGTGTATTGTCAGATGCTTAACTAAAAGAAAATAGAAGACGTTGGCTTACCTCTTCCCTTCTGCTGGTTTGTTCCCTTAAAATAATAGTTCTCAAGGAAATATTAATTTGTTCCAGCTTCCATGGAACAACCCCCGTCCTCCAAACCTCAGCAAGGAAAAATACGACTGCGTAGGTGCAGCTTCACCAAAGCAGGAGATATCAAATTGCACATTAATTTCTGATTCTCAGCAGTAGCCTGTGGGTTTAGAGAAATCCAAGCTGTGGTATCAAAGGTGCTCTCTCCTATAGACTTAGGAACAACTCCACTCCTGGCTGCTGTTGAATAGTTGTGGTCTGGTGGTTGGAACTTGGGACTTGCATTCTTGGCTAGCCCCAGGGCTCGCTGTATGTCTCTGTGCAGGACTCTCTACCTTTCTCTTTGCTTCTTGACCCTCCAAAAAAGGTACTTCCCCTGCTATGGTGCTTGTGAACCTTAGTGGGTTCTCTGGCAGCTTAGCAACTTCTCTGGCAGTCAGTTTGCTAAAGGTCTGTGGGATTCTTTGGAATGCCATGAGATAACCTCTTGCACCTGATCCATCAGATTTTCTTCAGCGTGGTTCAGATCATCATCTGATGATTGCAGAGTTCCTAAAGTGTGGCTGTGAGGCTGAAGCCCTGAGTTTGTCTTTGTCTGGTTCTGAGCTTGTCCCAGATCTGCCCAAATCTTTGCTGGTTTGATGGGGAGAAAACCAGTACAATGGAGCAGGTGACAAGCGTGCTTGGGGCCACCATGGCAGCTGGAGTCACTGCGCCTGGAGACAGCGTTGTCAGAAAATGGCACTTAATTTTCAGGTTCTTGCTCCAGAAGAATAAATTGGAGCAGAATAGGCCCAGAGAAGTGAGGGCTGTGGAGGTCAATGGCAGGGCTGTGTAGTCTGGCCAGATGTGGATGGATAGGAGATAGGGTTTGCTTTCTGTTCGTGGTTTGGCAGTAAAATACTGGGGAGGGAAAAAAACTATTGAAGGTGGAGAAGAATATTGGTTTAAGTATAAATCAGAATAAATTGATCATAAATAGGACAGACAAGAAAATTACTTTTCTTTTTTTCTTTTTTTTTTCCCCCAAGCTCATAGGAAATTCCAGGGTAGCTTCCAGGGGAAGAAAGGGGCTAAAAATTACCTGCTTTCAAGGTGGAGTCCATTTTACTAAAGAATTTGGACTTGATAGGAAGGGAACTGGCCAAATTGTTCTAGGATTTCTATCTGAGAATGTGCTGTTATTTCAGAGTAATAGAACCAGCTCAACCATGTTTAAAACTTGGTTTTTAAGTGTATAATACAGTAACAGAAACTGGCTGCATTTAGAGTGGCAAACCCCTGTATCAATTCTTCTAATTCATTCTGTCAAAAAATCTCTGTATTTTAGAAAGGCCACTGGATTGGGTGATATGTAAAGATGCAGCCAGGGAATAAGCCTGCAGTCTAGGCAGCCATGGAGAGATCTGCAGTCTCCTTATAGGCACTGGGGGAGGGAAGGAGGTTACCATTAATAATTTTTAACCTACATGAGCATGCATTATGCTGCTAATTTTTTCCTGCTGCTGAATTAATGTCAATGTTGAAAGTCTAAACAATTCCCTGAATGAAACCGTGTTTGGTTTGCCTTGTCCTATGGATTAACAAATCTGATTGCTGTATTTAAATCTAATACCCCCCAAAATTCCCTACATGAATGATTCCCGGCGAGGCCACGGGCAAATGTAATTATCTATGAAAACTAAGGACTCATGGCCTTGGGATAGTTTTCCCTGCAGCTGCCTCCAATTAATACGTCCATCAATTCTGAGAGTAGCAGGGTTGTAATGGCTGAGTGTAGGTACTGCTGTGTTGCTGGTCTTCTGTAGTCCCTTCAGCAGCCCCTTCACCCTGAGGAACGAGGAATTCTTTTTGGGTTGTATTTTTGGAAGATGAAAAGCAATGAGGATGTGTTTGGAAAATCCTCAGGTGATGGAGTGATGTTTGCTTTCACTGCACCCCTTTCACAATTTCCTAAACCGGGAAGCTGTTACAGAAACAGTTTTGGTGAGGATTTAAAACTTTTCCATGCTAATTTTGCCTTTCAGTATTCTTAGCTGGGATCAGGGTGTTCATGTGGGAGGCTTTCGCTAAGCAGCAATTTTCCCATGTAAATCAAGTCCTAGTTTGCTCAGGGTGGCACTTGGGTACCTGCAAGAGTGGATAAAGGAGTTTTTCTGCTCTCCAGTTAAGTGGCAGAAGATGTTGAGTCTTTAACAAATAGCTCAAAGATCCTGTAAACAGCTGAATGAAGAGTTAAGTGTATGAAAGGCAACTTCCAAATGCTTGCAGAGGAGGGACTTTCTCTTGCTCAGGTTTTACTGATTTGGTACCCCAGCGGCCCTGCGTCAGCTGGTCTTCATTGCCCCTCCAGCAAGTCAGTCTGCTCTGCAATCTTGGCAGTCAGAAAAAACAAACACAGGCTGTGTGGAGAACGGATGAGAGCAGCCCTGAGGAGAAGGACTTGAGGTGACGAGAAGCTCCCCATGACCCAGCCATGTGTGCTGGCATCCCAGAACCCGCCTGTGTGCTGGGCTGCACCCCCAGAGCGTGAGCAGCAGCTCAGGGAGGGGATTCTCACCCTCTGCTGTGCTCTGGGGAGAGCCCCCCTGCAGTCCTGGTCCAGCAGAAGCTGTGAGTGCCCCATCTCTGGCAGCGTTCAAGGCCCTTCCAGCCCAAACCTGTGTGTGATTCTGTAAGACCATGGCCACAGGGCATCTTTTCCCATGACATGATCCCCGATCAGAGTTGAGAGGTGGAACATGAAATGCTGCATAAAGGTGTCTTGGTTATGAATGTGTGTGGGAGCAAAGGAGAAGTATGTGCCTTGCTCTCCTGACCCACAGGAAGAGACCAGCAGCCTTTGTGAGCGTTTGCTAGCTGACCATGTCCCAGCAAGGGTATTTGTTGTCGCAGGGAGCCTGACTCATTTGAAGTGGTTACCCCTCCTGGAGAAGAGCTTGCTGCTTCCTTGTACAAATTGATCTCCTGCTGGGAATCGAGTCGTTCCACCTCAGGCTCACAATAACATTGGCTCTTTTCCGCATTGTTTGACTGCTAGGGACATATTGATATGATCTCCTGCAAGGAGAGGCTTGGTTGAAATACGGATTAAGAGGGAAACCGAGCAGATTGCAGGGTATTAATGACTTGTTCGCATTCCTGGGGCAGTAGGCAGGAGAAAAGAAGTCAGGCTGCTGTGACTGCAGAAGAATGTTTGCTTTGTGATCCCGACGCCTGCTCGGGGCTGCTGCAGGGACCCGGTCACAGCGAAGCGCGGGGCTGTGGCCACGGCACGGGAGGTACGAGGCATCTGCTGCTTTCTGGACACCTGTAATTGCAATTAGCAGCAATAAACCAAAAAGCCACCGGGGCTGGAGGAAAAGGGGGGAGCTCAAGTGAGTCTGACAGTGAGAGGTGAATGTGTGTGGCGTGGCCTCTCCCTGCATACGGGGATCATTGTAAAAATACCGGTGCTAATTTTCAGTCTGTCTCGATGATCAAAGCCAGGCGATACGGGATTTTCCTGTGGACTTAGTGGGACTTCCTATGAAAGGGCTGCGTGCCGTTTGTTTATGGAAGTGCAAAGCTGCACAATTACAAAGAGCAGGGCTTTACAGAAGAGCTGCAAGTTTTGCTTTTCCCAGTGAGAGTGTGATGGAAGATCCATGGACAGTGTGACCTCAAAAACAACGTTAGTCACCGTGTTCGGAAAGTGAGAGGGTTTGTTGTGCCACCTGTGCTGCGCTGTGTTTTCTTGGCTATTTTAATAGCTAATTAATCTTGATTTGCTTGGATTTAAGAGGGTTTTTTTCTCTTTTGGCACATGTGTGCAACCTATTATATCATAAATCCCACACATTTCAGCAAATGTCATCATGATTGTTCCCTACAGCACAGCATACTACTAGTAAAACATTCAAGGTCAGGAACTTGGATTCTTTAACCACTGTATTCATGGAAGCCAATTTATTGTTCTGTCGCAGTAGAAAAGGGTAATTTCTTTTGGACCTATATCATACTGGCAGCCAATCTAGAGAGGTCAGAACTGCCTTAACGCTGTAGGTTTTGTGGGTGTATTAATCTGTCTCAATAAATTAACCGTTGCACCCCACTGGTGCCACACGGGCCATTTCTCAGTATTTAGTGCTTTTATCTTCCTCTAGAAGTGTGAATTATTTTTGTGCACTCACTGTTTGACCTGTTTGTTGTATCCTGAAATTGATAGAAGTATTCCTTGTATTCTGTCTGTTGGAGGGTGTAAAGCAGTTTGCCTGGGGCTGGAGGAAGTGACCTTCATATTAAATAATCCTGATATGGTGAACTGGGGCCTGGGTGGCTTTTGTTGTGGCTATTTGTGCTGTGAAAGCTGAATCAAAATTTGCAACTTGAAGTCCTAAAGAGTGAATTAGGTCCGTGGTGACTCGGAAGAGCCATTAGAGTGGCTGCAGTGTGGGATGTTCCTTGTTTTTCAGTGCTGCTTAATTAGTGCTTAATAGCTCTTACACAGTGCCTGACCTTTTCCCTGGGTTATTTTGGTGGGCCTGTGAATGAAATGTCAGAATGGGAATGTAAATTAAAACATCTTGCAGAAGAATGACTTTCCTGCTATTTTCCAAAAGGAAAAGACTCTAAAAACTACAAATGAAAGAGGGGGACTCCGCTCTTAATTTGCCCTCTCTGTAATACTTTTATTCCCTATTTTTTCTTGCTTTAGTCTTCATATTCTATTTTTCCACTCACGTCTCTAGCAGTGGGGTTGTGTTGTTTCTCCAGGCTCCTTCTTGGGGCTGGCTCCTGGTCAGGGAGCCCAGGAGGGGCCGTGCACACTCCAGGAGCCTCTGAGCAGCTTTGTGGAAGAGTTGGCTTTTTTTTGGAAGGCATCTTTAGCCCTCTATAGCTAAATGTTCCCTGTGGCTGTCACACCCTTCCCAGGTGAAATAGAGCTTATTTAAAATGTTTTGTTAAGATTATCAGGTGGCTAAACTGAACTGATATGGGTGTTCCAGTTCACAAATCTCTCCTAAGTTATGAGCTCAGAATTTCCTTTTGCAGAAAACTTTGGAGTGGTTTTAATTCCTTGTATGCTGTATCAGGCTTTTCACATACTTGGTGCTGATAGGACTTCGGGGTGTTGGGTGAGGAGAAGCTCCCCATGACCTGGCTTCAGTGAGCCCTTAAGCCCAGAGCCCCCCTGTGTGCTGGGCTGCACCCTCAGAGCGTGAGCAGCAGCTCAGGGAGGGGATCCTGCCCCTCTGCTGTGCTCTGGGGTGGCTACCCTGCAGCCCTGATCCAGCTCTGGGGCAGCAGCACAAGAGGGACGTGGAGCTGTTGGAGAGAGCCCAGAGGAGGCCATGGAGATGCTGCACTGGAGGTCCGGTCCCTGTGCTGTCCCAGCTGAGTGCTGTCCCTGGCATTCCCATAACACTGCATGGGACACAACACTGAACCTCTGGAGTCAGTCAGGGGAGGCACCAGCTCCAAAGGAAAGCATCAGCTTGGTTAAGTTGTATCACACTTGTGGGAGTGCTGCTCCTTGCTCTGCCCTAGTTAATGAATCTAAATCATTTCAGTCACTTCAGGTGGCTGCTGCTGAGCTGTGTGGCACTGGTAACCAACAGGCTGGGATGCTGGCAGTCAGTGCTGCTGGTCATGTCAGTCAGCGTTCTGCATCACAGGCACATACAGAGCAGGCATTGCCAGTGAATCACTGCAGTGTTCTTCTAACACAGTTCTTTTGGTGCTTGAATGCAGCAGTGACAAAACGTACCAGGAGGAGAACTGTGCAGAACAAGCTGCTTTGTAAGAGGGTGTTCCCTGACCTTGCTTGGTGTGCCCTGCTCTGGCCCTAGGTGGGAAGCCACATGGAGCACCCGGAAGAACTGAGCCCACTACTGCTCCTCCAAACCAAGACTGACCTAGAAAAATACCATGAGTCCTTGGCAATAAGCACAGCATAACGCTGGCAGCAGCTCATTCATTTTCTGGTCACTAGTTTTGGGAGAGTTGGCATTGGCCAGAGAAAGGGGCAGGACGGGCAGCATTGCTGCCCCAGCACCAGCTCTCCTTATAGATCAGTTCTGCAGCCACATCCTCCTGCCATCCTCTGGAGCAAAACTCTACTCCATGTAAGTAAGCACTTTAGCAATACTGCCACTGGGATGGGATGAGTTTGGCTACGGCATGAGAGTCGGTTTAGATTAGGTCTCAGGCAGAAGCTCTTCCCTGTGAGGGTGCTGAGGCGCTGGCACAGGGTGCCCAGAGAAGCTGTGGCTGCCCCATCCCTGACAGTGTTCAAGGGCAGGTTGGACACAGGGGCTTGGAGCAAGCTGCTCTAGTGGAAGGTGTCCCTGCCCATGGCAGGGGTTGGAGCTGGATGAGCTTTAAGGTTTCTTCCAACCCAAACCAGTCCATAATTCATTCTGTGAAAGCAAGTACATGAAGATCTTTTCTATCCCTGTTTTCAATCAGGAGGTGAGGCAGAGATCAGCTAAGGAATAAGTACTACCCCAGATGAAACTTAATCTGTTTTTAAAGAACTCCCTCCCACTGAAATGGAGCTTTATTTTTCCCCCTTTTTTTTAACAGTCCTACCCTGAAAAGTGTCTCCTGGGGTCTGTCTCATCCTCACTTAACTATGTTGAGGTGGTTTTATTCCGAGTTTCTGGAAGCTCCGTGGTTTTCCCTGTTACGCGTTTGTAGTTCGGAATGCCCTGTGAGCCTTTCCTTTGCTGCATCTCTAGAGTGCTCCACAGGGAAAAATTTAAAAACTAACATGTAAGCTTTACATAATTTACTGTGAGAGTAATTGGGTTTATATAGCAGTTCATAAACCTTTAGCTGGTAAAAATCAAAGTACCTTAATCTGAAAAGCAGATGGGGGGGTTGTCAGGGTGAAGGCTTATAGAGTTTTCAAAGACAAATTGTTTAATTCCATCACTGACTAGGAAAATAAATAGTTCTGCTGCTCGATTGAAAACAGAAACATCTTAGAAATGAGACTTTGCTGGCTTTCAAGCATTGTTAGTTCTACAACAAAGAAATCAAAAGAAACTTGGTGGAAAGATGTGATGGAGTTCTGGTTTATGAGAAATGAAAGGCAAAAGCTTCTAAATCACGTTTTACTATTCTTAGTGAATTTTCAAGTGCTTTTCCTCTCCTCCTTTCAGGGCCTGACACTCTGTACAAGGCGTCTGTTCCGTGTGAATCGGCGATGCATGTGATGTCTGTAGGTCATTTCCTTCCCTCAGGAGGGGTGGCAGGACTGGCCATAGTCTCTGCCTGAAGACCAGAGCAGCGAGTGTGAGGCGCTCTAAAATCCCACTTTTCAATACAGCGAAGCTGTTTGCAGCAGATTGAAAGCTGGGAGCCATGCCTTGCCTGTGTAATGAAGACTGCATTTGTACCCCCATACTAATGCTACTCACAGGCCAATCAGTAGTATCTAGCCAGCACATCCCCTACAAGTGATGGTCTTGCTTTAGTTGGGCTAATGGACTGATGAGATCACCTCTAATTTGTGTATCAAGCTGGTTGTATAGCATCGTTCAAGAAAAAAGAAGGGAGGGGGGAAAATGCCACACACAAAACAACAAAACCCTCTTTATTTTTTTTTCTCGCTGGACTTCAAAAGCTCACATTGAGAGCAGGGGCTCTGCCCTGTGAGGGCGATGGGTTTCACTCGGAGCCATTACCTCAGCCCATAAACATCAGAAAATGAGCATTTGTTTTGGTGGTTGAATTTCATTTACTCCAGAGGTATGATGGGAGGTATGAGTAGAGCCATCGGTCTGTACAGGAGGAGATGCCTGAGAGAAGACTCTTGTGCTGAGCCATCCTGGTCAATGATTTGGAGCTTTAATCACAAAATCATAAATGGTTTGTGCTGGAAGGGACCTTAAAGCTCCTCCAGCTCCAACCCCTGCCACGGGCAGGGACACCTTCCACTAGAGCAGCTTGCTCCAAGCCCTGTGTCCAACCTGGCCTTGAACGCTGCCAGGGATGGGGCAGCCACAGCTTCTCTGGGCACCCTGTGCCAGCGCCTCAGCACCCTCACAGGGAAGAGCTTCTGCCTAAGAGCTCATCTCAGTCTCCCCTCTGGCAGGTTAAAGCCATTCCCCTTGGCCTGTCCCTACATCCCTTGTCCAAAGCCCCTCTCCAGGTTTCTTGTTGGCCCCTTTAGGTGTTAGGAATACCATGTAAAGGTGGTCATTGCTGTGTGAGTGTGCTAGCCTACCTGCAGCTTGCCCTACTGGCTTGGTGGGCTTCCTTGTAGCTGCTTTGACTCTGAGCTGCAGCTGTG